CGGTCTCCAACACCCCATAAGGGTTGCACTCTAACACAAAACATTAACAGTGACCTCAGATGGTTTTATATCTGTTATAATCAACAGATAGGCACATGTGACTGTTGCTCATTCCATGCAGTTGGGAAGGTATTCTGCCTTAACACGGTTGAGGTCACTGTTAAGGTTTTGCATTTTGAGTGCCAGTTTGATGAGGCTTGTGTATGTATTATGGGTACCCGTTGGAGATGGAAGTGAAAGCCTTCTGGCGCATTGGACTGTGCTATCAACAGTATTGTAAGCAATATGGAGGTGAAAAGGAATGCACAAGTCTTTCCCCTTAATGCTTTATTTCCATGCTTTTTAGGTGCATGGCATTTGTCCAGATGCAACTTTGTCCTTAAATATAGTTTTGGTTTGCTAATGGCCTAGTTTTTTTTAATACAGATTTGTCTACCTCAGGGGGTAGCTCCCCAGAGTCAGGGAGAAGGAGAGCTACACCTGCCTGGGAATCAGAGGGAGAAACTGCACTCCTGAAGCTGCTCATGACTAGGTCAACTCTCCTGAAGAACATGAGATGTTGTGATGTGCATCAGTAAATCCCTTCTGTCTATAACATTTTATCCCTATTTAAAAGTTACTGAAAGTTATGTACAGCAAGAGCACCTCTATGTTTAGCAGTGAGGACATAACTTGTCAGCTGGAGAACACATCTGGGAAGGAATTTCTGTAATCACTCACTTCCTGAAATAGTCTATAGTCTTTCAGTTAAGTGGCATCATAAACAAATGTAAGTTGCATCCATTGGTCATTAGCATTAGTTTCACCTATAAGAAGGGAGGAGAGCCCATGACAAGAGTAAATCTCCCACAACAACTTTCCCATGTCTGTGGCCAAAAGTGCCCCTCCAGCTCCCCACTGTTGTGAAGCTTGCTATGTGGTGTTTATCAGCTTGGCTGCTACCCTCTTCAAGATGTAGCTGCATTTCAATAACCAGTGACAATTGTAATGCAAAGCTGATCCTGAAATCCTTACTCAGGCAAGTTCCCCCATTGAAATCAAATAGACTACCCATGCAAGCAAGGGTTTCCAAGATCCAGCCCAGAGTTGTAAAGAACTCGGTGCTCTTTCAGAAAGAAAAGTGTTATATAAATGAAAGCAATTGGCCCAGAACATCCTCTATTGCTGGGGACAACACAGAGCAGCTTGTGGGTGTGGGAGATCAGGGAAACTTGGCGTAAAGGTGTCCTTCCCACTTCCTCAATCCTGTGCTGGTCTAGTCCCCTGGTTCTGACACCAGAGTATCCCTCTATGCTAGGGTGAGCCTCTTGGGTCCAGTTATACCAACTTTCAGTCCAGAATCTACCTATAGGGGGGACAGACCAGAATCTGGGCTATTATTGTTACTCTATGCAAACAGCTGAATATTAAAAAAAAGTTATGATTTTTTTTGATGAATAAAGTCATAAATGCCAAACTCTTAAACTTGGTTTATATTTTGATTCCCCTTGTTTTAATTTTATTATTTAGGCTTAGTTTGTTTTGTGATCAAACCAGCTGTGCAGCGGGGACAATGTTTCTATTTTGTGTGGCATTTAGTATCTGGAATGTAATGTGAAGACATTTCTCCTCCCCACACATTGTGGCTGAATGATACTGCTGTGCTGATTTGAAATGACCTGATTAATCTCCGTTTCCTCTTAACATTTTGACTAAATGTCAAACAAACAAGTTTCATGGACTTGAAAAACATTCAAATAAAGATGAAAAGAAACACATGGGCAGCAGTTTTTAAATATTCTTTGGGACTATTGGACACATTTCAATATGCTTTAGCCAAGCTGGTGAACAAACAGGAAAGAAAGATTGAAAAATGTTTCAGACAGTGCTGCATTTTTCATACAGACTGTATAATCTACTTATAGATTACGGAAAGAGATAGGGGCAAAGCTACCACAGGATGAGTTAACACAAAACCTCAGATCAGTTAGTGTTTCGAAACATGAACTGTAAAACAATTGTGATACGATGAAATCTGGGTTCCATTTAATTCAAAACCTAAAGTATAAGAAGTGGAGAAGGGCTGGCTAAATAATACTTGTTCTGGCTCATCTCCACCATGAAATGATTCTGGATCTTCATTCCTCAACAGAATCAGAAACTGGGCTTCATTTATAAACCAAAAGGACAGTTACAAAATATTAAAGTAAAGAGGAAGAGTCGATGTTGCATCTGTCCCTAGTGGGTCACCCCCTTTTCCTATTTGGAATAAGTCTTTGGCTGCTCTCACATAATGTAGTTAATCTTGTAGCTCAAGTGTTAGAACCCTGTGCTGCAGATCTGAAGGTTCAGGTTTCAACCACTTGAGCTACAAGACTAACCACAGTACCTGAGAGCAGCCAAAGACTGTTATTCCAACTAGGGAAAAGGGGCGAACCAGTAGGGACAGACGCTGGAGGCAGAGTGGTGATCAGGGCTGCTCAGTGCTCTCCCCCCCCCACCCTTCGGTTCCAGGGAGGATCTCCCATGTGGTCCCTTGTGGGCAGGGGGAAATACTGCGGGGGTTATGTACTGAGGCCCGTGGGTGGAAATAGATAATTGGAATGGGAGCTCTGCAAGTCTGTCTCTCTCTTTCTGGGAAGTGAGGAATCTTCTGGCCCCTGTGATGGCCCCAGTGAGACATGTATATCTGGGACATGTGGTGGATGGGGGGGGGGGGGGGAAGCCTGATCCAACTTTTCTCCACCCGTCCCATTCTGAAGCACTGGGCAGGCCCCAGGTATTCCTAGTACAGCAGTGGTAATGATGTTGCTGGGCCAAAGTGGTAGTCTGGGTTAATGCCTTTCACAGCCAGAGACCTGGATTCCAATGTGACTTGTATTGTGAGAGAGACCAATTACAATGGCTTTAAGCTTGTGCAATAGGTATTTTAGTTTGCATCACAAACCCACCACATAATATGAAGTGTTGAATTCCCAGACTGCAAAGAGCTGGGAATTCTGCAGTTCAGGAGAGAGAGCCTGGCAAAACTGTGGGAAAGCTTGCACTGTTACTCAATGCTTGGCTTGTGCCAGACCTACCAGCCCTTTACCTTCCAGAGCACTCCTATTTTGCCAAAAATATTTAAACAAAAAACATAGCTAAGAAACACACAGGTTTGTTTTTTTTCCCCCAGTCAAATTTAATTTTTTTTTCCCCCCTATAAAAAAAGACAATAAATTACATTTCACAAAACAGTGTTTAGGTCAGGATGTTCTTTTGGCTCTTCTGTTAAAATATGTGATTACACAGTGTAGAGAGTCAGATTTAGCTGGCCACCGTTACATACAGTAAATTCCAAAATGGGTCAATCCTAGTATTAAGTGTGTGCATGTGTGGGGGAAATTAGTTTCACTCTGGAACACAGACAAGTATAACAATCCATTGTTTGTCTAACTTTGTACACGATACTCGTCATTTAAGCTGTGTTTAAACAGTAGCCAAAAAAAAATTTAAAAAAGGGGGCGGGGTCCAAGTGAGATTTTCGAAAGCACCTAGTTGAGTTAGGAGCACAAGCCCCATTGACTTTCAAGAAAACTTGTGCTTCTAAGTCACTTAGGCACTTCTGAAAATCCAACGTTTAGAATGTTCTAAAAATTAGGCTTCGGTTTCTATTTTCTATATTTTAGGTGGAGGCACTGCTAGAAGATATTTAAAAATCACCACTTTCATTTAGTACTAAAATCAACTTATAATGCCTATTGATATAATTAGGGCCCAAATAATTAAACTGCTCAGCAAAGGGATTGAAATAAACATCAAAGTCTTTGCAATACTGACCTAAGCTGGGCTTTGTTTTTAAATGCACTATACAATCAGTTACCAATTACTAACAACCCATCTTAGGCCACTGGGCTTTTTTTAATACTTAGGTAGAACAAGAAATAGACTAGAGATGCAGATAGATGCCTGCCACGGACTCTCATCTCTTTCAGGAGTTTTTTGTTGAATGGTAACGTTTAAATGTTGCTTATGAGCCAAGTTACTAGACGTCTCAGTCAAAAGATTACAGACATTTTGCTAATTCTTTGGAAAACAGATACAGTGAAGAGGCCATATCTATGTCAGGGTCATCAATTTTTGTAAGGCCTACCCCAACTCCCATCTTTTTGTACACAACTGTAAAATCAGCTGTGCATGTACCTGACATCCCAGACAGTCTCCTTTTAAATGGGAGGTCTCTAGATTTAAAAATCTGGAGCTATGTTTGAAAGTATATACTTGAAGCAATCATTTGCTTTCCCCAAGAACTGCTAGAGCAAGAAAACAAGGTGGTATGTTCACCTTTAAATATATTTCATTATGCTATTTCCCTTTTTCTGATAACGTACCCTCAATATGGTAGAAATAATTGCTTTAACTTGCTTATCATAACTTATACAGAATCAAACCAAACCAATTTAAATAGGTTTTTTAATAATTGCAGAAAGAACAGTCTATACTGGAAGTGTTTAAAAACACCAATATTCTTCAAAAAGGTAAATCACACTGGGTGAAATCCTGGCCATATTGAAGTCAATGAGAGTTTTGCTATGGACTTCAATGGAGCCAGGATCTCACCCACTGGGTCAAATTCAGACCTGCTCCAACACCATTAACACTGAAGTCCCCATATACACCAGCTTTGAACATGGCCCACTAGCAACCTAAGCCTGAGAGGTAATGAGCATCTGCAACTGCAATTAACTTCAACAATAGTTAAAAGGGCTCTCAGTACCTAGCAGGAGGCATCTTGCCGCATCAGTCACTCTGTCCTTTTAGATGAGAAGTCCTCAAATATCTAGGCTAATGCTACACCCAGGGCCGGCTCCAGGGTTTTTGCCGCAGCAAAAAAGGGCCACGATCGCGATCTGCGGCACTTCGGCGGCAGGTCCTTCCCTCTGAGAGGGAGTGAGGGACTCGCCGCTGAAGAGCTGGACGAGCCGCCCCTCTCCGTTGGCCACACCACGCACCTGCTTGCTGTGCTGGTGCCTGGAGCCGGCCCTGGCTACACCACAGAGCTTACAGGGGTGCAGCTGCACCAATGCTGCTGCACCGCTGTAACGTTGCTAATGCAGATGCTCTAAGATGACGGACTGGGCCCAATATTGCAGTAAACATGCAGACAATCCTGTAGGCAAACACCCTTGCTGACTGCATAAAATACTGCAGGATCAAGATCATTGTGAGGCAATGAGAAAAGGGTGGGTACAATATGCTGCAGAGAACTAAGAAATACCAAAGATAAGGGCACATAGGAGAATGACAAGCATGGGGCAAGCATTTCTCTCTGGCATAGGACATCTGGTACATGTACACAGCAGTCCTGCCTGAAAGGCACAAAGAGTTGTGCAAGGTAAAAAGAAAAGTAGCTGCTTTGAAGCAGTTTTTTCACTCCACAGTAACTACTCCGGACCTACTCTCTTATATTTCTTGCATATTAAGCAAGGACCTCTGGCCATGATATTAATATGACCTTGATCACCTCTAAAGATCTGTTATTTATTAGAGAAATACAATAAAATTATTCCAGACTATGCCTTCCATTCTACTTTCAGATACAAGAACAAAAATCTTACCCCCAATTAAATTCTCTTTTCCCAGTTCTCAGCTTCTCTCAATCTCCCACATCATTATTACTATTGAAACATTATTCAACTTTTCTCCCTTTAATTATTCTAGAATTCAGTTTCTCAGAAGACCATTTCATTCAATTTACACCTGTCAAATTTTTATTACAGCCCCAAAATTTGGCTAGTAGGTACACATAGGCATATGACAGGAAAGCTCTGGGCAGAGAGTGAGCATTCAGCTTCCCCCAAAACCTTCAAAGAAAACATTCCCCAGCCACCCTGCAACAAGAGTCACAACAAAGTGTTCTGGGTCGGATGTGTGCATATGCATGTGCCCATCTGACAAGAATAATCTGTGCAGGGAGATGTGGGGAGCTGGGGCATACTCTGCCCTCACAATAAGAGTGCACAATAATACTATTTGCATAGCATTGTCTATCCAGTTTTGAGCAGGTTCCACAATGGGCCCAAACCTGACCCACAGACTTTACAGTCTCCAAGTTCTCTTCCACCAACTCAGACTCCTATTTCCTCACCAATCTTCCACACTCTGATACTTCTAACCAAAAGCACCTCTAAATTCATTTTTCATTTTGGCAAGAGGCGATGAAATCTGACATTTGTTTAATTCCATCATCAGGCTGATGGAGCGCTATGATTGTCTGATATAGAAACATCACATCAACAATTCCCTCTCTGAATATGTGCATTCACACTTGTGTGTGCAGCAGGTGTGAGATTGTGATTCCATTAGATGCTTTCTCAGAGAAGTTAATGTTCCATCACTCAGAAACCAGCATTACGCTTGCATGATGTGGTATTTAACAGATACTGGCTATGGAGCAACAGCTTTTCAGAGACACTCTTCTCCCACCAAAACGGAGATTACTCATCCAGAACTTCCTCCCAGTGAAGACAATAGGAGTTTTGCCACAGACTTCAATGGGAGCAGAAATGGACCGTTTGTGGACTTGATAATCTCAGTCTTTGTGGTTTATATATGTGCATTTCCAATTATGTGCATACTTCCATAAAGTCCTAAGGGCATCCCTACAAGGCAGTGCCTTGTTATTACTCACTGCACATTGACAGACTCAGATTTTCAGAGTTGCACACGTGAAACTGTGCATTCAGTCACAGTAATTCCAAGTACATGTGACTAGTTAGTCATCTAGCTGAGCATCTGCAGGCACAGTTGTGCATGGTGATTGCATATACAGATGATGCATTTGCAATTTTGCACTAGTGATTCTGAAACTGCACCATATTGCATAAAATATATAGCACCTGTATTTTGTATATTAGATTATAGTACATTTTAATACTGAATATTAAGCAGCTACATTGAAACACGATTTTTAAATTTTCACACAAATCTTAATTTGTTATTTTTGTCGGTTTGCCTGTATTGTACCTCTCTCTGACTATACTGTCATATAACATGTATAGAATGGATGTTTGAAAATCAGTTTTCCTACAGCAAGGAATTTTCAGTCTGAAATCTGCAGGGGCACAAGAACTACACGGGACATACAGGAATGCTCTGCACATTTGCGTCCAACGTACATATATGAAGTACAACTGCCCACGAAAATACACAACACATCTATTCTAATGGTAACAGTTATAGGACTTGGAACGAGGAGGATCCTGGTCCAACTTCTAGTTGAACCATCAACTTGCTCTGTAACTTCGGACACCCCTCATTACTTGACCTATTCTCGAAGGCCAGATACTGTGCAAGCATCCCGGTTGCAGGTAGAAACGGTATTGATTTCTTATGCTGTTTCCATAGCTGAGGTTTCTTGCATATATATATTTTAAAAGGTTACACAAAATTATATTAACAGTGTGCTGTCATCTGATTGGCTATAAATTAGCTTTACAAATACAACCCTTTTGTCAGTAACAGTCCCAAACAGCATAGGAAAATTAGTGCAACTGTCACTGTAGAATATTGCGAGGGTTTGTTTGCTAATAAGGGCAGGAAGAAAAGAATTCTGTAGCATAAAGATGAAAAGTAACTACTTCTAAAAGTGAAGAGTGGCATGTTTTATCCATGTGGAAATATTTCTCTACAAAATAAAAACATTTTGGCCAAAATCATCCCCGATGTACTCTCAATTAAGTCAGTGGAGTTGGGCCATTTACAAATTTGGCCCACTTTATCTGTTGTGATGTAGCATTTCCAAAAGATGTGTTTCCCTACAAACCCCTGAAAACTGTTACTAAGACACAGTTGTCCTTTGCTTTCAAAGGAGCAGATTTTCTCAGGAAGAAATTGACAGACAGGAGGTTCTCAGCTTTTACGATAGAGTTGCTAAAGTCTGTTGTCAAATCTCAAAATACTACTTGTGAAAGCCAGCATGAGCACTTTCACAGCAAGAACTGTGCGATCAGATTAGCCAGTCCTAGGATGATTATAAAGATGTGAACGATGAGCACTGACCACGTCAGCTGCCCTGACTGACGCAAGGAGATCATGTAGATGAGGGATGGATACACAAATACAAAGGCCAGACCACACGTTGCTCCAGAGTATCTGCAAAAGAATTAAAAGTGCTTTGTGTTAACTCTTGTTCCTTGGGGTTTTTCCTAAAACAGTCTTGTTGAATAATGATTATTTGCTGTCACAGCCAAAAAAACATTGTTTTCTGTTCCTCGTTATCTGCCTCCTCCTCCTCCAATGGCATTTAATTACTTGATAAAGCATCTCCCCCCAGAGTAATCCTACTGTCAAATGAGCCAGATGCTTCTGGAGACAGACTTCCTAACTTTGATATTGATGTATTTTGCTTTCGGTTGAGGAATCTGTTTACATATATGTCAGAACAAGGCCAGACAATATCTTTTGTTACTTTTTCATGTAATTATCAAATATATAAATCTGGTAACATCCCAGGGGCTTAAACAAAACGTGTATGAGCTCCTAAAAAGCATTTCTCTGGTACTGCAAGAACATGAAGTGAAAACAGCACCAGGAAGGACCAACCCATAGCTATTGAAACCCTTTTCTACTCCTCCTTCCAGTGAGGACTCCCAGCCTGACTCTCCGCTAGCTATCAAAGCCCTCTCACTACCCTCTCCCAATGCCAGTCTGGCTCTTTGACAGCTATCAAACCCCTGGTGCTACCAAGTATTCGTTATTCACAGGCATTTTTTCCTATTCAACAAGTTTCAGTTGTCCAACCAGGGAGCAGAAAGAACATATTACTTAGGTGACCAATCGCATGCCCAAGAATAGCGAATAGTTGAACTATACAGTTCATGAACCACCCACAGGCTGAAAATGGTTTGTCCAAAACTGTTTGGCAACTATCAGTAATGAACACATTAGCAAAAATCAGGATCAATTCGCAAACAGAAAAACATGCTGAACACACCATGTAATTTATGTTCCGTGGACTAATCTGACTAGTTCTATTATCAGAGGATAGACGTTTTCCCTAAAAATAAATTAAATAGAGATTATAAAAAATAAAATAAAAACACAAGGAGTTAAAAAAAAAAAATCTGAGTTCGCCAGTTTCAGAAAATGAGTGAAGAGTAGCTACAGTGACTACCCCAATACCAATTGCTGTAGTTTTATAATCACATATTCCTGGTTTTTTTAATGCCTTCCTTTCCTGGTTGTTGTGTAAAAACCCAGACTAACAACAGGGGAAACGGACTATTCCCAAAGCATTTCCAAATGCAGAAAGTAAACCCTCTGGAAAAAATTGACAATATATTTTCTCACGCTCTCTCAATTACAGAAATCACAGGAGTTAATTGCAACAACAATATAGGTTTAAATAAAAATCAGTAAGAAGTGAGATTTTTATTTTGGCCTTCCTTTTGTCTCTGATTTTTTATTTATTCATTTTCGCTGTTTTTAATCACAATTTAAAAATTGATTTAAAAGAGACTGTCTTTAAAGATTAACAACAACAACAACCCACACACCTCCACAGAAACCACTGGTGGTAACATACAAATAGGGCCATACAGTAACTTAGTGACTTTATGCTGAAAAATGATGCATCTGATTCAGAATAAGCAGGTAAGTTATGGGGACCCTGGATGAGATCTGAAGGAAACTTATTCCCAATTCACATCGGTCTGGCAATCATCTCAACCCTCTGAATGTCCCTTTCCAAGAACTAAGATTAAACAGAGCTCCATATATCAGAGGTTGACATCACTCTAATTTTTTGTATATTTATTATAAACAATAATAAAAAGACAGATTGATCTCTGAGAATTTGTCTGACACCAAAAAGTAAATTTCATTAATATTCAGGACTAGTTCAGAGTACAGAGAATACCTACCTTATAATACCTCCTATATTTGGATAGAATATGGCCATTGTCACTCCAAGTCCTACAATTGCTACGTTTAGAACCAACACGTGGAAAATACTAGAGAGAGGGGGAGGAAAAACAGTTAATATATGTATAATACCACTAGGAAATAAGAACATCTTTCAGTTATTGTATTACAATTTAAAATGTACATCCAGTAGGAGTGTTTCTACTAGTATGACTCATCATATTAGAGCTAATTAATTTTATAGTTAACATGCAATATTCTGTAGATGTTAAGTGCCAGATTCTAAACAGACTCAAATGTTTGGACTCAAACAATTCTTCAGCAGAGATTATGTATAATTTGGCATTTCTTCTTAAAACAACATACTTAATACTCTAGCATATGAAAATCCATCTGAAACATCCGAAGACAAAGAAACAATACTGTATAATTGAATTCCCACATGAAAGAAGTGCCTGGATCCAGAGAATGAACTGAGCTATATGAGCGGACTAATGGATACCAGAGAAAGATGCATCACAGAATGGAAAGCATTATATAGAATACATAAAAACAAATCTTAATACATTACTTGTCACATTTTGATTGATGGATAAGACAAATGTTTAGGTTTCTGAACTTCACTTAATGCATGACCTACAATTTACATTAGACTGCTTTTTTTGGATAAACAATGTATTTTCTACTCTTATGTTTTGTGTTTAGTGAGTAAACTTGAACAGGTTTTGCTTTCTGAATGAACCTTCTAATGCACAAAAAGCATTCACGTTGTTTAGATACTAGTGAAAGGGCTGTGCATGGACTCTGGACTCAGATACCTAAATGTCACCTGCATTTAGGACCTGTAAAATTTTTTACATCTAAATATCAGGAAAGATCTAGGGTGACCAGACATCCCGATTTTTAGGCGTTTGTCCCACGTCCCGACCGATGTTTGGTCGTGACGCAATTTGTCCCGATATTTCGCACTCCTGTTTTTGTTTTGTTTTTTCCGCCGGCGGGACTCCGCTTTTTTTTTTTTTTTTTTTTTTTTTTTTTCTCTCGCTTTTCCGGCGGGTCTCCGCTTATCTTTTTTTGGCGCTCCGCCAGCAGGACTCCCCCACGCCATGTGTCCCAATATTTTCTTCATCCCATCTGGTCACCCTAGGAAAGATCTGACTTAGAAAATGTTGGGATATGTTAGCCACACAGACGTTCGTCTGGGAATGAAAAATACCAAACACAGTAAAGACACAAATACTTATGGCTTTTGTTTACCTACTCTTCTGTTGTGTTTATTTCATTTTGACTGAAGTCACCATTTTTTCTTACCCATCAAAGGTATTTCTCTGATGGAAAAGGTCAGTCTCTAAATAGATGAGCTTCTATCTATGTCACACTTGAACTGGCATGAGTGACCAATTTAAGGGCTGAAATGTTAAGTGCTAATTTACAAGGTAGGAAGTTAAATTAATAAAATTCATGAAATAAAAGGGGTCTTATAAAAGCTATGGGGAAGAACGGATAACTTCTAACCATAAAAGAATAAACTAAGATAGACAGCACCCTTAATTACACAGCTAGCATTTTAATAGTACAAGAAAGGGTGGGCATTAGATTGAAGTTGTCCGTTGGAGAAATACCAGATGGGGCTTTAAGAAAAACACTGAATACACTGGTCTACAATTTTTGAGAAGTCGTCTGCTTCAGAGATAAAATGTGCTATTTATTATGTATTTTGATGTGCTGAATTCAAATATGACAATTAAAACAACTGATTGGCTACTGTTTCTAAGTTTTTACATTTTATGTCTATGTATATTGTGTAGATAGTAGAGTTTTAACCATAAATTGTAAACCTAGGTCTTTTCATGTGTTTATGATAATGTTTACATGATAATATTTCACCTGTCCTGTTTATGTAACACTTTAAAAATCAGCAAAAGGGTTATAGAAATAAAATTTATTATGAAAAAAAAGGCAAAAAACTATTATGTACATAGTTTAGTCCTATTCAGTGTCTACTCGGCGCTTCTTGGCTTGTCTCTTGTATTCATTAAATGGAGGATCTCTTGTCCCTGTCCAGCAATAGTCTGCAAGCATTGATGGGCTCCATTTGCCCTGATAGCGTTTCTCCATTGTTGCAATGTCCTGGTGAAATCGCTCGCCGTGCTCGTTGCTCACTGCTCCGCAGTTCGGTGGAAAAAAATCTAGATGAGAGTGCAAAAAATTTATCTTTAGTGATATGTTGCAACCAAGGCTTTTGTATGCCTCGAGGAGGTTTTCCCACCAACAATCTGTAGTTGTCTGCCTTGTTGTTTCCGAGAAAATTTATTGCCACTAACTGGAAGGCTTTCCATGCCGTCTTTTCCTTGCCACGCAGTGCATGGTCAAATGCATCATCTCGAAGAGTTCACGAATCGGAGGACCAACAAAGACACCTTCCTTTAACTTAGCTTCACTTAACCTTGGAAATTTTCCATGGAGGTATTTGAAAGCTGCTTGTGTTTTGTCAATGGCCTTGACAAAGTTCTTCGTCAGACCCAGCTTGATGTGTAAGGGTGGTAACAAAATCTTCCTTGATTCAACAAGTGGTGGATGCTGAACACTTTTCTTCCCAGGCTCCAATGACTGTCGGAGTGGCCAATCTTTCTTGATGTAGTGGGAATCTCTTGCACGACTATCCCATTCGCAGAGAAAACAGCAGTACTTTGTGTATCCAGTCTGCAGACCAAGCAAGAGAGCAACAACCTTCAAATCGCCACAGAGTTGCCACTGATGTTGGTCATAGTTTATGCACCTCAAAAGTTGTTTCATGTTGTCATAGGTTTCCTTCATATGGACTGCATGACCAACTGGAATTGATGGCAAAACATTGCCATTATGCAGTAAAACAGCTTTAAGACTCGTCTTCGATGAATCAATGAACAGTCTCCACTCATCTGGATCGTGAACGATGTTGAGGGCTGCCATCACACCATCAATGTTGTTGCAGGCTACAAGATCACCTTCCATGAAGAAGAATGGGACAAGATCCTTTTGACGGTCACGGAACATGGAAACCCTAACATCACCTGCCAGGAGATTCCACTGCTGTAGTCTGGAGCCCAACAGCTCTGCCTTACTCTTGGGTAGTTCCAAATCCCTGACAAGGTCATTCAGTTCACCTTGTGTTAGGAGGTGTGGTTCAGAGGAGGAGGATGGGAGAAAATGTGGGTCCTGTGACATTGATGGTTCAGGACCAGAAGTTTCATCCTCTTCCTCATCTGACTCAACTGAGAATGATTCTGGCGCATCAGGAACCGGCAGTCCTTCTCCGTGGAGTACTGGGCGTATAGCTGATGGAATGTTTGGATAATGCACAGTCCACTTTTTCTTCTTTGACACACCTTTCCCAACTGGAGGCACCATGCAAAAGTAACAATTGCTGGTATGATCTGCTGGCTCTCTCCAAATCATTGGCACTGCAAAAGGCATAGATTTCCTTTTCCTGTTCAACCCCTGGCGAAGATTTGTTGCACAAGTGTTGTAGCATATGTGTGGGGCCCACCTCTTGTCCTGATCTCCAATTTTGCAACCAAAATAAAGGTAATAGGCTTTCGTAACCATAGTGGTTATACTGCGCTTTTGTGATGCAAAAGTCACTTCACCAGAAACATAGCAGAAGTTATCTGCACTGTTCACACAAGTACGAGGCATCTCTGCTCACTTTGGCTAAACAGAAATGTGTCCCTTTGCAAAATCAAACACTGACAAATAAGAGAGCATGACACTGTATGATTTCTAGAGCTGATATAGGGCAATTTGTTCAGCAGAGTGATGTAAGCTTCGTTATGATTGCATCATCCATGACTTCTAGGAATAACAGGATGCAATTCATACCATGTATGACGCAATACCAGCTTCAGATTGCATCATTCATTGTTTTGCCTAAAAAGCAAGTACTGTCCAAACCCAGTCATAGATTTATTCATAGATCCAGTCAAAGATGTATTTTAGTCATTTCTGGTTTAAATTGAGATCCCTTCCCTTTATAACTCACTTATCTTCTGCCATTCCCAAGTCAAGGGTTGTATATACTGACCCAATAGCATATCTTGAAAACTAGAGCCAATCAACAATTTTAAGCATCATTTTCGTTCTCAGTGACCCAGAATTAGTAAAGTTTGACTACATTTATTTCAGAAGCATTTTGGCTGTAGAGCAGTGATATTTGAAACTTTATATGAAGGCAAAGTTACAACAACACATGAATATACTACATCATCTATTACTTATTCATCATCGAGTTAGTATTCAGAGAACCTGGCTAAAGATGATGGCTTGCTGGCTGGGAAACCCTCCTTCTCTGAATATACTAGAAAGGGTGACCAAATTTCTAAATACTGATCCTTTTTTTTTTTTTTAAGCACTTCTCTTGTGTACATACTTGGTGTGAAAGCTTTTCCATTACAATGACAGTCCATATTTTACTACCACAATTCCACAGGAGGAGGATTGTGTATTTCAAGTAATGTGCAATATATAGAGTCTTATGGTGAATAATAAAAAATTTGTCATTCTATTTAAATGGAGATCCTTTACTGGAGCATTAAGCAAGCAAGTCAGAGGATCTCTAGGAAGCCAGCATTTTGTCATAAGATGACTCTTCTTAATAATTTCCTTCCCAAACCATCTAATTCTTGAACACAACCAACATGTGTACAAATACATTCCCCTTTCCCTGCAGCCTCTCCAACAGAGCACCTCCCTAATAGCAAAAATATGGACGATATTAATTAGAGTCAAATGCTATATATGCAGTAATTTATAAAAATGTTCTTTATGAGCTGCACATATCCCCTTTCCCATCTTAAGAGATGCACTTATCCAGATCAATTTCTTTGTCCAAATCCCCCTCCCATGTTTTTCATCTGGGTTGTTTTATTAACATATTTTTCATTCTAAATTGTATGTATCTTAGAAATTAAACCTTTTGTTCCAGCTTGTTCCTGGGTTAATTCCTGAAATGTTGTTAAAGGTCCAGTTAGAACCACCTCATATCCAGATTTCACAATAAAGTGTTTGATTTGTAAATATTGAAAATACGGGACCTTTACATTATCACATA